TCCAGACTAATTAGAGAATTTTTACGTTTAGTCAAACGAACTATTTTCAACGTTTCTGGAACGTTTACAATCGTTCTATAATCGAACCAATATTCGAATTTTATGTTCGAATTTAATTCGAACAAATTCGAACAAAACATTCGAAATAGAAAGCCACTTTCAACCACTTTCAACCCCATATCTCCCGCACCCTTATAGCTATCGAGATGCAACCACCCCTATGCACGAATGGAGACTTGGGGCTACTACCACATGCAAACACCATTCACGTGCGATGTGTAGTTTTGGCGGAAAAGTGAAATATACGGACACACACGTCCATTTTTATATATAGATATATATTAGTAGTCTATTATTAGAATATATTATTAATATATCTCTAGTAAAGATCGCCCGTTGGAATTCGGCTCGCTCCCTTGTTTATTTCGTACATCGCCTCTGTGCAGGGTATTTACATTTATTCGAGTGTTGCGCAAATCGTGGCTGCTAAAAAACAGAAAGATGATTTCAATCGAAACAAAGCGAGACATCATCAGAAAAAGTGAAAGTTGACAAAAAGTTCATTGTCAAATGGGGAGAGGTTCGGGAGTTTACCAACACTCATTATCCAAACAGAGCCGAGGCCAACAGGATCAATGACCTCTACAATGACACCCTTGCCCGTCATTTCCGACAGGTATTGAAGAAGAGAGAGAAACAGACCACCTTGGACGTGTTTTTCAAGAAGCCAGCTGCCAAAAAACAAAGAATGGAACGACAGGAGATGATCCCGCAAGCTCCGGTAACCTCTCCTGAATCTGACTCCGATTAAAAAACGATAAAAAGAGACCCGCTGCGATGTGTAAAAAGTCTGTATCTGTATGAATGTGTAAAGAAAGTGTTCCTCCACTTCATCCTCGCAACATCTGACCACCCGGCATAATTGGTGACTGCTCCATTTTAATTTTTTTTATGGTACGGTTATTTTATGTCGCGAAACGAATTACATGTTTTAACACGTATTTCTATGGGAAAATGCGTTTCGTATAACGGACTTTTCACTTAACGGACGTACACCCGGAACGGATTAAGTACGTTATACGAGGCACCACTGTACTGTACGGTACATTATTTTCTTTATAACTCGCAATAAACTTCGATAATAATTGGTTTGTACTTATTTATTGCGAAAAAAATATTATTTTTATTTTAATAACTTAATGAGTCGACGAAACTTTCGGTTACGAATTCTTCTTTTCGCGTCGATTCCGGCCATCTTTGGACCACGTACAAACAACTAATTACGACTCGCTCTTCCCTCTTCCCTTCCCTTTGTTCTTCTTCCTTTCTTTCCAATACCTCTTCATTCTCTCGCTCCGCCGTTGTCTTTGCTCCCGAGTGAAGATTTTTCCACGTCTGTTAGTTTCCTTTTTCTGAAAACCCTCGAAGTTCTTTATTTCTAAACCTTTCCCTGTTCTGGATATCTTCAGATATGCCCATTTCTGCCGCGTCTTTTTGAGTGTCATTAGTCCATTGATTCTTATTCTTTTGGTTGTCGAAATACGTAAAAATTAGCTTTGTTAGCCTATTTTCCCCCATTTTCTTTATATGTCCAAAGAAGCTTACTCGCCTTCTCCGAATTGTATCCGAGAGTCTCGGGATTTTTTTGACAGAGCTCTTTATTGCTCCTTAGCCCGTAGTTACCACGTTCATCTGTTTTCGGCTCCAGAAGTTTTCGAAGGATTTTCCTCTCTTTTTTCTCCGTATTTTCTATTTTCCCCATTTTAAGAGTAGCAATACCTTCCGCTGCATAAAGTGCTCGAGGTTTTATCACCGCGTTATAATGTCTAATTTTTGTGTTGGTGGAGATGGGTTACAAATTATTTAAGTAAAAAATATATTTTTTAAAATTAAATTAGAAGTCTTTTAGCTTTGGAATAAAAAGTTTCTACGCTCTATCTTTATTAGAACTCTATGTATTGAATCTTTTATTCTGAGGTCACGTGATAACATCAGAATTTCCGAGTTTCTTTCGGTAACAAATCCGCCCCTGGTCGAAGTCGGATAATAAGAAAAAGTCGGAGTTGGAGTCGGTAGATTTTTACGCGACTCCAAAGCCCTGGAAAATTCGATCTTTCCTGAAAGTAATCGTTGTCAGTCTGTCATTACTGCATCCAAGTGCGAAAGAATCGGTTTCTTCAGTGTCTGAGGTAGGTTATAACTTCGCGTTTTGAACAATGCAGAGACTGTACAGGATTTTATAGTTCCATTCGTTTGCATATTGCAAAGTAAACAATATTTAAAGCAGCAAAAGCTTTGCATGTCCAGCCGAGCAACGTGTTGCTAATTAATGGTGGGTGTGCGTAAATTTACGGCCTCCGATATTTTAGAAGAAAAATGATTTCAAGTATGTACGGAGACGCCAGTTACAATGATTAAGTCAATTTTTTCTAAACCATAGCTCATAGTTCGAGTCCGAGCAGGTCATTTTCGGGTGCAATGTCCCACACAACTCTTGAGCCTCCATCGTATGCCTGCCGAATTCACAAAGAGCTTGAAAAGTAACTCTCTTAATCCATACAGGGAGAAAACAGTAAACAGAAAAATTCATAAAAATCAATGATAAACATGATTTTCAAATCATAATTAAATATTAAATCTTCATAATGAATTTACCTAAAAGATGTGGATGACTGCTGCATCTCAAAATCGTTCTGCTGAGAATTTGTAATTAGTTGTTTCTTAAAAATTTGTATTTGTAAATAATTGTATATAATATATATATTATAAACAAAAATATATTTATATTTAATTTTTATAATTATTAAAGATGATTTGAAAACTACACTTTGCAGGATACGCAAATGATTTTATTTAAGATGTGCAAATTTCTAAATTCTGCTTATAAATCTTACTATAAACTGTAGTATTTAACATTATTTATGATGCAGAAAAACAGTTGTTAAAGTGTGCAGTGCCCTTCATATAGAAAATTAAAAATATATTAATATAGCTTAAATTATAAAATAGTTGTGTACTATATCAACTGAAGCTCTATAGATCTAATTTAACTGTTAATTTATCATGGATTTATTTATATCCACGATCTTTCTATTTTGCAAAAATTGTTTCTCAGTTTTAAAATATACTTGCAGGATATTTGTAAAGAATTTAGTTAACTTTTGGAGCACACCAGCGCGCCTTGGACCATATTTGAAAAGCATTGAACTAGAACATTGTTAATTCTATAAATATTTTAAATTGCAAAAGAGGCATTGTTCTAGGCGCAATATTAATTAAATTATTAATATCTTACCTATAAGTTCAGCGACTTGAGGTACTTTTACAGTTGATGTGATAGTAACAAGGCTAACGGTTAATATTATCATCACCACACATCCTAATGTTAGTTTCTGCCTGATGTCTGCCGGAATCCAAAACATACACAGAGTCAATAATACAACAATAACAGAAATTATCCACTGTAACTGATATTGTGCAATTGGTTGTCGTCTTGTAAGTAACATTGACAATTCTACTATTGGATAAAAGTTATTTTGGTATTGCATGTCTCTTTTATCTAGCTGACAGTCATTCATATTCCAATAAGGATTACCGTTGTTAAAATATTCCAGATACGGTTCAGGATCAGGAGCGAACAAATAGACATCACTACCTCTGTTAGTCCAAGTTTCCAAACTGACTTTGCATTTTGCTGCATCCAATGGATAATCATCATAATTGAAATAACATTTACCAATTAATGAAGTGGGTATGGCCCACCATACTACTCCATCAGAGTAAACCTCAACATCAGTCGAATTAATTTCTGAAATGGAACTTTGTGGTCCACTGTAGAATTTAAAAACAAAATGAAATTAATTATTNAAAGATTTTTAATTGACTCTGTATTGGTTCTGTCAGCTTGATCTCTTTTCTTATGACTGAAGTACATCATATAAATGCTTTTCTGCCAGGTGGAATGATCAGAAAGCCAGAATAATGGCGGACATTGTTTCGTATTTCCAAAGCGTTTTAGAATTTCTTCTTTCTATAAACTGTAGTATTTAACATTATTTATGATGCAGAAAAACAGTTGTTAAAGTGTGCTATACGTGAAGAAATTCGTAAGAAATGAAAGTTAAATAACCATGAACACTAATTAATACACTGTAATTAAATTAAGAAGTTTAAATATAATTCAGCATTATAATAACTAATCTTCTGACATCAGAATTGTTCAAATAATTTTTTTATGTATATTGTGTTTAATAGTCAATATCATCTTGAAAATGCAAATTACATGGTATATATTCTCCTACATTTAATTTATGTTAACACTAAAAGGTCACTACAAAAATTAGAGTTAAATATAAGATCCAGGCTATAAACGTAGAGTTTACTACAAAAACTATTCCTGTAGTAAACTCCATAATCCTAAGACAGATGCTAGCTTGACATCTGTCTTAGGATTATGAATTGTAATTAAAACTAGACCTTTAACCGACCAGATTGCTGCGGGATTAGGTCGTCAACCTACTTTTTAGAGGACCCGGAATCGAATCCTGCCAGTCGAAAATCACCAGGTGGTTTGTCTGGACGTGTTGGGTTTCATCCGTCAACACATACTCGCCCTATTGTGGCCACGATAAGTTTCTTAGAGCCCAAAAGGAGGGAGAGTTAAAAAAGGAAAAACTGGGTTTCTGATGATGTAATCAAAACGCAATTTTGTATTGACCTGTTACTTTGGATTACCTAGAAGATTAATCTCATTTCGAAGGCGATTGAGTTAAATTAGATTAATGAAATAATATTGCGACTCGTCCGATCTGACAAAGGATCCATTTCAGAGTATTTTGTATGGAAAACTGGATCTGATTTAAGTGTTATACTCGTAAAGAAAACCTGGTAAATTTCACATGTCGAGTCCTATAGTGAGACACAAACGAGTGCTCAGTGATTTTACACAAAAACTTGAGATGCAATTTCTACAACGCTCATGAATAAATATAGTAGAATTGAAAGAATTTAATAAATTAATAAAAACGGATAATAGATTTGAAAAATTAACTTACCCGTAATGTATTTCGTAAATATCTGGTTTCCAAATAGATTTTGGTGGCATAGTTATCATTGAAATATTATTAAATTCTCTTTCTTTCCAAATCAAATGTTTATCTCTCCAGTGCTAAATTAAAATTTTATAATTTAAATTTAAGTTTGTTATAATTCTACTCACCCTTTTAAATATCCTTTTAATAACATAAAATTTTATGAACATTATTATTAATTCTACCAATTTGCAAACAGCAAAATAACATTATTCTTTATTGTTTTTGAAAGTGTAATTTTAATGAAATTTATTATAATTTATATGTTATTGACAGTAACAGAACTTATTTAGTTAAATTTTATAAACTTACTAGAACGATAATACAGTCTAAATCCATGGTTTGTTTCTCTTCATCCTGAAAACATAAATGTAAATATTTAAATGAATTTTATACAATTATCCAAACCGAAACAAATAGAAATCTTACCACGTTCATGATAGATAAAGGATCTATAAACACATGAACTTCTGTGACGTTAGTGTTGTACTTAACAGGGCGAGCATTAACGTCATAATCTGCTGTTAAATGTTGTCTTAACCTTCGATAATGATCCATAATCGTTTCATTACCAAATACCTCTAATTCCATTTCTGTAACAGTATCAATTTCTTCGAGTAAATGCTGATAACCGTCGTTAAGATTTCCCTTCGCTAGGAAGGGTAAAATACACAGAAACATCGTGTAAAGTTTATACGCAGCCATTGTTATACGTCAGATTGAATCCAGAAAACAGAATCAACAAACACCCCTCGATAATGGTATCTTTGATGACAATCACCTGCGTACTGTTGTACTAGTATCTGAATGATATTCTGCCCTAACAATTTATAGGTTATTATTAAAATGTCTGCTGTTTGTCCTTACATTAATACTATTTAAAATAATTGTTTGTACATAAATAAAACACTTGTAAATAGTATATTAGGGCTTATTATACCATAGATATCAAATATTTAAAACATTTCTAAAACTTCAATTATAATAAAGACTATATATTTTAAAAATTACAATTATTACATTTTTCAGGTAGATTAACCACCTACAGCTGTACATTGATAAAGTAAACTCAATTAGGCCTACATTCAAATTTCTTTTTGCTGTTTTCATCTGTTGTACAATTAATTCTTGGTTTGAAAATTTAGTTCCTATAATTTAACAATATTGTATATAAGTTATTATAGATTTACAGTATTATTTGATCAAGAAAAGATTTTTAATTGACTCTGTATTGGTTCTGTCAGCTTGATCTCTTTTCTTATGACTGAAGTACATCATATAAATGCTTTTCTGCCAGGTGGAATGATCAGAAAGCCAGAATAATGGCGGACATTGTTTCGTATTTCCAAAGCGTTTTAGAATTTCTCTCATTGTTATGAGAAACTGGAAAATCCACCAGACTTTTAAGGAGAGGTCCACTCTACCATCCGAAAGACGGATGGTAGAGTGGACCTCTCCTTAATCCTTAATAATCTCCATAATACATGTTTGTAGAACAGAAAAACACAAACAACACAGTACTGCAAGTTATATTATGGCTCACTCATCTACATGCATAAGTACACAGATATCACAGCAAACTGTTATAAGGCATTTTGGAAACGTATATACAGTATACACAAGAGTATACAGTACTGTATATACAAACGCGTTACGTTACATATTATTAAAATGTGTATTTATGTAAAACAGCTAATAAAATCATTAATTTTCTGAATACAACATTATAATTTAGACCAGACATTCAAATACATAATAAGCGGCATTCCATTTACAACTCTTCTTTCGAGAAACTCTAATCTTTTCGGAAGATCATATCTGATTAAGGGTAATAAATTTCTAAGTAATTGTTGCATAGTCAAGACTCGGGTGCCCTAGTAATATGATTATAATTGTACTTTTTTATAAATTTATTTTTGAATTTTCGTATATAAACTAACAGTCTTTAGTTCTATGTTAATATTGAACATTGTAATAATTCCAGGACTTTTTAAAATAAATGTGAAAATGCGAAACATATAAACGATACTTTAATTTACGTGTGTGTGCCTGGTATGTGTACGTATTCATACAAGGATATGTTAGTTGTAACTCATTGCATGGGAGACATACTGGAATTCATGAATGACACATGTAAAACATTGCCATATTGTGTGTTTCGGTGCAATTACTCTCGTTACATTTACTAATGTTGGCCGCTAGAGACTGCTAGCAAAATATGGAGTTTTTCATGGATCATGGAAAACTCCATATCTAGCAAAATATGGATGAGTTATTAGTCATGCTCATCATGAATTTCACCATGCCTACAATAGGGGCAGCCAGGTGGCTTGGGACGGGATTAGGCATTTTTAAGAAAAACAACCTACGAAAAATTCCCTGGTTGCTCTACCAGATTCGATTCCGGTTATTCAAAGCAGTAAACTTACTCTTTAATTGTCTGGGCCATCTGACCCGTTTGTATTATAATTTTCTGTGAATTTAAAACTAAAGAAAACTGAATAGTATACACACACTATTATATTTAATATTCTTCAATGTTTGAATTTGAATAAAGTCATCAAAATTCAAGTTTATATTGTTTTAGGTATAGAACATAGTAATAGTACATAAAAAATGAACAATATTCTATCCAGAATTTGAGCAATTATTTGCCAGTTTTCGTTTTTCGTTAGTCGTTGAAGAGGAGCCAATTCGTCTTGATTTTCGTACAAATTCATTTTGTCCATTGGTTTCTCTTCCGTGCGAACTGAATTAATTATTAATAATTTAGCAATGGTTCCTGAAAATATGTTGAGGATAAATTCGGGCGGTTCATAGTCTTGAATGTATCGAAAATTAATGATGATGACCTCGAATACAATAGCCACTAAGACGACGAACATTGTGTTGTGAATAGGTTTAGCTAGAACGATAAACATTAAATTAAAATGTTAGAAGCTAAAATAAATAATTTCGAATCATAAATCACTAAAAATTTTCAAAAGTTTTTATGAAATTGAATTAAACTAAAATTTTTTTGGTAAATTATTCTTCAGATATCAGACATATCTTACTGTGGATCTATTTCTATTTTCAGTGGCAATAAATATACACGCACTGCATTCGTGATTGTGATAAATGGTAAGAAAACTGGACTCCTTTGCAACTTCGTTTAATTAGTAAATAAATTAAACTACTTGAGCTACGGCTTACAAAAAAATTGGCTCAATTTTTGTAACAGGAGTCTCCAATACACACCTGAAATCATTATTCCTCTAAAATAAATTTAGGAGACCATAAATTTATGCACACTCAGCATTCACATGCAATTACCACTTCGTGGATCTTCACTTTGCAGCGTACACGTTGGCATCTCGCCTAGTCACGGAAAACATCTTGTAGAATGTTGGTCCATGTTTCTTGAAGAATCGTTTTCAGTTGATTTCTAATTCCGATTTGCATTACAGCACCTGTTTCTCGAGAACACGCGAAAGATCGTTGATCGGACTGAGATAGAGCGAATTTGAATCATGAGAACTTGGGCAGTATTTTGGGAAAGCCAAGCACTAATGGAGCGCACAGTATGCGGCTTGGCGGGATTTCGCTGAAAAATCGTACCTCTATGCGGCCGAAGATGGGCTATGGACGACAGTAAATGTTGTTCAAGAATTGCCTGATAAGATTGGCAGTCCCATCAGAAAGGAGCCAAACCACCAATGCCAGAATGCTAAAACTTGAACCGTGCTTGGAAAGTTGACTTTTTGCTTCTGTTTTGAGCGAGTCTTTTGTCCTGCCGACTGGATGACTGTACGTCCTAAATTTCTACATAGGGCAAAGATGATTTGTGAGACAAAATAATCTTTTGCTAGTCAAGTTCACAAACCACTTGTTCACAATTCACAAACGTTTATATTAACGATTAAAACTTACATACAGTTATGACGTTACAAAAATAAAACAATTACAATAATTCAGATATAGCAAAGTTCAAACGTCAATTAAACCACCACAACAGGTCCGTCGAAAAGGACTCCTTGCAACGTATTCCTTCAGACGTTAGTTACCGCACAGCGAGACGAAACAACCTTTTTATGCGAAGCTAATCAAACTTGAGTTGCCTGAATATGTCTTTGGCGAACTAAACTTCCCGCCTAATCTCAATCCTTTTATACGGATTGAGACGAATTTAATTCCACCAATCAGCGTTTAGTAGCGCTATCGGACGTCCGCTGGTCGTACGAAGTTTTCTAGCCAATCCGCGGTCGAGTTCCAAAACTACCAACATCGCCTGATCCACGTTTCCGTGACGACCGCCGTTAATCGTTCAAAACCAGGAAAAGCGCGGGAAATCGTACGTCCAGACGATTTATCCCGAAACCGCTATTGAGCTTCTGTCCAAGACAGGTGATCCTTACTCCATGCAAACCTCTTCTTTTGCTGCACTGGCGTCAAAATGGGCTTTCGCTTTCTCTTGTACGAACCGTAACCCATATAATGTAAACCTTTAGCTAGCAGTTCGTCGAGATAAGATTGACCTTTTCGTTCGTTCCACATTTCTGCAGCTTCCACCAACATATCAGGTTATGACAATCCAACAGAAAATTCCAGGGCTGTGGAGTCGGAGTCGGAGTCGTGGAGTTTTGGTGTTTTAGCCGGAGTCGGAGTCGTCAAAAAGTTCGCCGACTCCGACTCCTTTTTAATTACCAACTTCTTATGTATATAAAATGGAAAAGTATTGGAATCGTGTCAAATTTGACCCTCCAAGTTTTATTTTTTTGCAAATCTACACGTTTGGAGACCTCCCGAACCCCTCAAAAAAGACAGTAAAAGAAAAAATTCGCGCGCGTGTGTGTTGGCATCTAATTTGTTTAATTTCTTTATTTTCTTTCTGAGATATTAAACAATATCTCAGAATGGGTAAAGTTTAAGAAACGAAATGTGGCACTGTAGCTTGCGTATAAAGGGGCATTAATACTATTAAATTTTTGTTCTTAATTAAAGGTCGACAGGGTGAAGACCTAAAAGTGGTCATGTGTCATACCTCTTAATGAATATTTTACTCGTTATTAGCATTTAAAATTAGAAAAAAATAAAATAAAACTCGTCTCTAACTTCAAAGTAAGCTTTTTAACCATTTTATAATAGTACAGTAAAACCCATTAAGATGTTCTGGCCTAAAATGTTAGAATGTATACGGGGACACGATTTAGTTCAACAACTTTAACGCTAAATAACTAACTCCTGTATTAAACCATCTGACTCCGATTCTGACCACTCTGACCACAGAAATTATTGGGCTTCAAACGGGGTGAACAAAATCATGCCCCCCNAATGGCTAAATTGGATGTGGTACAATAGATATACTAGTACACACTACAATTTATAGAAGCTTTCCTGTGAAAGTTTCTGGCTACCGATATAAGGGATGTTTGAAAAACAATGCTGAAACTTATACGGATAGTGCTATTTAGTCATGCAAAGAAAATACAGACAAGTGTATGTTCGGAGGTGTTATCCACCGGTTGGTAACTGACAGACATTGAAGATGGGAACCAGAGTCTGAATAAATGAGCGAATGAGTCCGACTGTATTATTTAATACTGGATATTACGATGGCGATACCTCCCTGATTAATTTTACGATAAACTTTTGGATACGAACCTAATTTAGCACCGAGTACTAGAGATTTAGAATTTAAGACCGACAACTTTTGAAAAAAATGTGAATGTAGCTACCCGCTAAGAAATAAATTAGTAATTATACGACTAAAGAACATAAATAAAGTCAAATACTGTGTTTAACTGTTGTGTCTATCCGACATTGGTACAAAACGTAGGCGAAGATAGCAATTTTTAGTTTTAAAAATGTATTTTCGGTGTGTCTAACGTTTTAAAGGCCTTCATTTTTAATCTCGTGATTTTCCTGTAGGACTACAAATGCAAACAATAAGCTTAATTTAATCTCAAAAAAGAAAAATACAATTTCATTATCAATTTAATATACTTTTACTTTATAACACGGTAGTTGAATAGTATCAAATTCTCCGGTAGTTGACGTTTTGAGATTTCTTAACCCGAAAAAGTAAAAAAAGGAAAAAAGTACATGGACAGGTTCGTTTTTTTAACTGTGCAAACGTCTTATTGTTTCTTAAAAACAAAAAAATACAGCAACAAGTTGCGAAACATTCCCGGCAACATGACGTCACGAGATGTTATAAAATAATAACTTTTATATTATTAATTAACATAAAATGATAAAAAACTTAATATTAAGGATAGAGATGAATTTTATTCAAAAAATTGTAAATGCTGATAAAAAGTAGGTTAATATATTTATTAATGGTGCATAATTATTTGTGTATACCTCTACAGGAAACTGGCATTCGCTCGTTGATGAAAAAAATGGCTGCTAGTTGTTTTAAGGATAGATTTTAGCGCTGTTTTGTTCATATTTTCTAATTACATAACTAAGTTACAAGGAAGTGAAACTGTGTCGCAACTTTATTAACCATAAAAAGTCATGGGCATCCTAGTTGGACTCGAATCCGCATGTCAAAACAATTGACAGTAACGTTTCTTTCAGATATTTAGTAATGACATATTATTAACTACATACATAAGCATACAATAAACTTAATAAAACATATTTTGCAATTAAAAGAACATTCCTAATAATCATCTATGTGTAAATTAGAAGAAAACACTTAAAATTTAAATTTATATTGTTTTAGGTATAGAACTAAGCAATAGAACGTAAAAAATGAACAATATTCTATCTACAATTTGAGCAATTATTTGCCAGTTTTCGTTTTTCGTTAGTCGTTGAAGAGGAGCCAATTCGTCTTGATTTTCGTACAAATTCACTTTGTCCATTGGTTTCTCTTCCGTGCGAACTGAATTAATTATTAATAATTTAGCAATGGTTCCTGAAAATATGTTGAGGATAAATTCGGGCGGTTCATAGTCTTGAATGTATCGAAAATTAATGATGATGACCTCGAATACAATAGCCACTAAGACGACGAACATTGTGTTGTGAATAGGTTTAGCTAGAACGATAAACATTAAATTAAAATGTTAGAAGCTAAAATAAATAATTTCGAATCGTAAATCACTAAAAATTTTCAAAAGTTTTTATGAAATTGAATTAAACTAAAATTTTTTTGGTAAATTATTCTTCAGATATCAGACATATCTTACTATGGATCTATTTCTATTTTCCGTAGCAATAAATATACATGCACTGCATTCGTGATTGTGATAAATGGTAAAAAAAACTGGACTCCTTTGCAACTTCGCTTAATTAGTAAATAAATTAAACTACTTGAGCTACGGCTTACAAAAACATTGGCTCAATTTTTGTAACAGGAGTCTCCAATACACACCTTAAAGCATTATTCCTCTAAAATAAATTTAGTAAGCTATATGTTTTTGCACACTCAGCATTCACATACAATTACAACTTTGTGGATCTTCACTTTGCAGCGTACACGTTGGCACCTCACCTAGTCACGGAAAATGACTTGTAGAACGTTGGTCCATACTTCTTAAAGATTCGTTTTCAGCTGATCTCTTATTGCAATTTGCATTTCAGCACCTGTTTCTCGAGAACACGCGAAAGATCCTTGATCGGACTGAGATAGAGCGAATTTGAATCATGAGAACTTGGGCCTGATTTTGGGAAAGCCAAGCACTAATGGAGCGCACAATATGCGGCTTGGCGGGATCTCGCTGAAAGATCGCACCTCTCTGCGGCCGAAGATGGGCTATGGAAGACAGTAAATGCTGTTCAAGAATTGCCTGATAAGATTGAAAGTCCCATCAGAAAAGAGCTGAACCACCAATGCCAAAATGCTAAAACTTGAACCTCACATTTGAACCTTGCTTGGAAAGTTGACTTCCTGCATCACAGTTTTGAGTGAGTCTTTTGTTTGGCCGACGAATGACTGTACATCCTAAATTTCTATATAGGACAAAGATGATTTGTCAGACAAAATCACCTTCCGCTATTGAGCTTCTGTCCAAACTTTCTCTTTCTCTTGTATGAACCCATGTAATATAAACCTTTTGCTAGCAGTTCGTCGAAATACAGATTGGCCTTTTCGCTCGTTCCACATTTCTGCAGTTTCCACGAACATATCAGGTTATGACAATCCGACAACAAAATCGAACTTTTCTGAAAGTAGTCATTGTCAGCCTGTCATTACTGCATCCAAACGCGAAAGAACCTGTTTCTTCAGAGTGTCTGAGGTAAGTTCTAACTTCGCGTTTTATGCAGAGACTGTACAGGATTTTATAGTTCTATTCGTTTGCATATTGCCAACTAAACAATATCTAAAGCAGCAAAAGCTTTGTATGTCCAACCGAGCAACGTGTTGCTAATTAATGGTGGGTGCGCGTAAATTTACGACCTCCGATACTTTAGAAGAAAAACGCTTTCAAGTATGTACGGAGACGGCAGTTACAATGATTAAGTCAATTTTTTCTAAACCATAGCTCATAGTTCGAGTCCGAGCAGGTCATTTTCGGGTGCAATGTCCCACACAACTTGAGCCTCCATCGTATGCCTGCCGAATTCACAAAGAGCTTGAAAAGTAACTCTCTTAATCCATACAGGGAGAAAACAGTAAACAGAAAAATTCATAAAAATCAATGATAAACATGATTTTCAAATCATAATTAAATATTAAATCTTCATAATGAATTTACCTAAAAGATGTGGATGACTGCTGCATCTCAAAATCGTTCTGCTGAGAATTTGTAATTAGTTGTTTCTTAAAAATTTGTATTTGTAAATAATTGTATATAATATATATATATTATACACAAAAATATATATATATTTAGTTTTTATAATTATTAAAGATGGTTTGAAACTACCCTTTACAGGATACGCAAATGATTTTATTTAACATGTGCAAATTTCTAAATTCTGCTTATAAATCTTACTATAAACTGTAGTATTTAACATTATTTATGATGCAGAAAAACAGTTGTTAAAGTGTGCAGTGCCCTTCATATAGAAAATTAAAAATATATTAATATAGCTTAAATTATATATAGTTGTGTACTATATTAACTGAAGCTCTATAGATCTAATTTAACTGTTAATTTATCATGGATTTATTTATATCCACGATCTTTCTATTTTGCAAAAATTGTTTCTCAGTTTTAAAATATAGGCCTACTTTCAGGATATTTGTGGAGAATTTAGTTATCTTTTGGAGCACACCAGCGCGCCTTGGACCGCATTTGAAAAACATTCAACTAGAACATTGTTAATTCTGTAAATATTTTAAATTGCAAAAGAGACTTTGTTCTAGGCGCAATATTAATTAAATTATTAATATCTTACCTATAAGTTCAGCGACTTGAGGTACTTTTACAGTTGATGTGATAGTAACAAGACTAACGGTTAATATTATCATCACCACACATCCTAATGTTAGTTTCTGCCTGATGTCTGCCGGAATCCAAAACATACACAGAGTCAATAATACAACAATAACAGAAATTATCCACTGTAACTGATATTGTGCAATTGGTTGTCGTCTTGTAAGTAACAATGTCAATTTTACTATTGGATAAAAGTTATTTAGGTATTGCATGTCTCTTTTATCTATCTGACAGTCTTTCATATTCCAATAAGGATTACCGTTGTTAAAATATTCCAGATACGGTTCAGGATTAGGAATGAACAAATTGACATCACTACCTCTGTTAGTCCAAGTTTCCAAACTGACTTTGCATTTTGCTACATCCAATGGATAATCATCATAATTGAAATAACATTTACCAATTAATGAAGTGGGTATGGCCCAGAATACGTCTCCATCAGAGTAAACCTCAACATCAGTCGAATTAATTTCTGAAATGGAACTTTGTGGTCCACTGTAGAATTTAAAAATAAAATGAAATTAATTATTTAATGATTACGATAAATACTGAAATAATACAACTATAAATATATCCATTTAAATAAGGTTTATTTAAACATATACGTGAAGAAATTCGTAAGAAATGAAAGTTAAATAACCATGAACACTAATAATACACTGTAATTAAGTTAAATATAATTCAGCATTATAATAACTAATATTCTGGAATCAGAATTGTTCAAATAATTTTTTTATGTATATTGTGTTTGATAGTCAATATCATCTTGAAAATGCAAATTATATGGTATATATTCTCTTACATTTAATTTATGTTAACAGTAAAAGGTCACCAGAAAAATGAGAGTTAAATATAAGATTCAGGCTATAAACGTGGAATTTACTAGAAAAACTAATCCTTCAGTAAACCCCTAAACCCTAAGAGATGCTAGCTTGACATCTGTCTTAGGATTATGAATTGGAATCCAAACTAGACCTTTAACCGACCAGATTGCTGAGGGATTAGGTCGTCAACCTACTTTTTGGAGGACCCGGAATCGAATCCGGCCAGTCGAAAATCACCAGGTGGTTTGTCTGGACGTGTTGAATCTCGTCCGTCAACACATAGTCGCCCTATTGTGGCCACGATAAGTTTCTTAGAGCTCACAAGGAGGGAGAGTTAAAAAAGAAGAACTGGGTTTATGATGGTGTAATCAAAACGCAATTTTGTATTGACCTGTTACTTTGGATTACCTAGAAGATTAATCTCATTTCGAAGGCGATTGAGTTAAATTAGATTAATGAAATAATATTGCGACTCGTCCGATCTGACAAAGGATCCATTTCAGAGTATTTTGTATGGAAAACTGGATCTGATTTAAGTGTTATACTCGTAAAGAAAACCTGGTAAATTTCACATGTCGAGTCCTATAGTGAGACACAAACGAGTGCTCAGTGATTTTACACAAAAACTTGAGATGCAATTTCTACAACGCTCATGAATAAATATAGTAGAATTGAAAGAATTTAATAAATTAATAAAAACGGATAATAGATTTGAAAAATTAACTTACCCGTAATGTATTTCGTAAATATCTGGTTTCCAAATAGATTTTGGTGGCATAGTTATCATTGAAATATTATTAAATTCTCTTTCTTTCCAAATCAAATGCATATCTCTCCAGTGCTAAATTAAAATTTTACAATTTAAATTTAAGTTTGTTATAATTCTAGTCACCCCTTTAAATATCCCTTTAATAACGTAAAAATTAATGTACATTATTATTAATTCTACCAATTTGCAAACAGCAAAATAACATTATTCTTTATTGTTTTTGAAAGTGTAATTTTAATGAAATTTATTATACAGTAATTTATATGTTATTGACAGTAACGGAACTTATTTAGTTAAATTTTATATACTTACTAGAATGATAATACAATCGAAATCCATGGTTTGTTTCTCTTCATCCTGAAAAACATAAATTTAAATATTTAAATTAATTTTATACAATTTTCAAAACCGAAATTAATAGAAATCTTACCACATTCATGATAGAGAAAGGAACTATGTGCACATCAACTTCTGTGACGTTAGTATTATACTTAACAGGGCGAGCATTAACGTCATAATCTGCTGTTAAATGTTGTCTTAACCTCCGATAATGATCCATAATCGTTTCATTACCAAATACCTCTAATTCCATTTCTGTAATAGAATCGATTCCTTCGAGTAAATGCTGGTAATTGTCGTTAAGATTTCCCTTCACTAGGAAGGGTAAAATACATAGAAACACCGTGTAAAGTTTATACGCAGCCATTGTTATACGTGAGACAGTATCCAGAGAACGGAATCAACAAACACCCCTCGATAATGGTATCTTTGATTACAATCACCTGCGTGCTGTTGTACTAGTATCTGAATGATATTCTGCAATAATAACCTAACAATTTATAGGTTATTATTAATAAGTCTACTGTTTGCCCTTATATTAATACTATTTAAAAGATTTGTTTTTAAATAAATAAAAGACTTGTAAATAGTATATTAGGGCTTATTATACCATATAAATCAAATATTTAAAAACATTTCTAAAACTTAGGTTATAATAAAAACTATATATGTTTTAAAAATTACAATTATTACACTTTTCAGGAATAGTCGACCCTCTTATAACGTGGTAGTTACGTTCCATTTTATAGGAATTTTACGTTGTAGGAATCCTTAAATACATGAGCCAATCATAGCCCGGCACGTGTGCAGTTTACGGACTACGGTTGTTTGAAAGGTTTTCTTCCATAAAATTAATCGATTCTAGACTAATTTGACTCAACATTTCCAAAACATGTATAATTTTTTGGGAATAATCCGTATAAACCATGCTATAAACAAAAAAATGTAGGATTACTTACCGAGTATGCACCGTTGTAATCAATCCTTTGTAATCAACTCCCTTTGTTCATATGGAGATTGCAGCGTTATGTGCTTTTTCTCCGAGAGACGTGTTTATTGACCGAAGAGCCAGCCGTAACAACGCCTATACGCGCGCGCGGGAAAGAAATGCCTTCCGGGAGGACTTTTATGGGGAACTGGCCTCCTATTCAGTCGTTATTGGCAAGGAGAAAATCCGGAAAACTCCTTGCAGCCAGCCTGTCCGATCGCGGCGCGAACCCACGACCGAACTTTCCAGTGTTTAGGGTCTGGTCACCGCTATGAGCGGCTAGTGGGAACCGTTCAACGACGCCACTGCTCAAGTATGTTTTCGTCGCGGTGCAGCGCACCAAACGGCGGCGCGTTTTCTGATAAGTTATTTTTCTGCAAACAATTTGTTGAACTTTGGAGACATCATTAATAGAAATAATTTTTATGGCCATTGAATAAATGTTTTTTTCACAAGAAATGTACTGTACTGTACAGTATTGTAATTACAGTACTGTATTAGACTTACAGTACCTAATTTATAATATGTACAGACGATAGTAAACTCAACTTACCCGCCTAAACTCTCGGTAGCGTGTAAGTAGTTCGGCTGCTCGTCCACTATTGGTCCAGATTCGACCAATCCTGTCGCGACACGAGTCGGCGATGACGTTTTACCGCATTTTACGAGTCTCTTTTAGCGTCTTTATACGAATACGGTCGCAATTTTTTCGCCGCGATATACGAATCCGCATTATATGAACCCGATTTATGGGTGGAGTCGACTGTAGATTATTGTTAAGCACCTACATACAGCTGTACATTGATAAAGTACACTCAATCCGTTTTAGATTGCATTGGTATTCCTACATTCTAATTTCTTTTCGTTGTTTTTATCAGTTGTACAATTAATTTTTAGTTTGAAAATTATTTCCTATAATTTAACAATATTGTATATAAGTTATTGTAGATTTACAGTATTATTTGATCAAGAAAAGATATTTAATTGCCTCTGTACTTATTCTGTCAGCTTTATCTCTTTTCTTATGAGTGAAGTACAGCATATAAATGCTTTTCTGCAAGGTGGAATGACCAGAAAGCCAGACTAATGGCGGACATTGTTTCGTATTTCGAAAGCGTTTTAGCATTTCTCTCATTGTTATGAGAAACTGAAACATTCACCAGACATTTAATGAGAGGTCCACTCTACCACCCGAAAGACAGATATACATAGAAGAGAAAAACACAAACAACACAATAGTGCAAGTTATATTATGGCTCACTCATCTACAAGCATAAGTACACAGATGTCACAGCAAACTGTTATAAGGATGTGAGGGACGAACAAACCCACAATAAAGTGTTATTTTACATTTTAATTATTTGAAAATATAATCGGTTAAATTCGAACGTTTTATCGAGTTAGGCTAAAAGCCATAAAATTTATTTCCCACGGAGTTTGTTCCTTGTTGAGTCGGATCAAGTTAGTCAGGGATGTGTCACCAGGAACTTTTGATGGAGAAGACATATTGGACGTGCGACCGTTAAAGGCCATCACCTGACCTCATGGAAAAAACCCAAGAGAAAAAAAAAGAGAAAAGAAAACGATCCCGGGGTCAGTCGTCATCCGAAGTCCCTCTACAGAAGTCGTCATTCAAGCCCGCCCAACCAAGTCGTCCTCCAAACCATTAAAACCGTGCCCCAGGATTAAAACCGTAACACCGAATTAAAACCGCGACCAGGATTAAACCCGAGAAAAACATTCGTGCTGGATTAAGCCTCTACACTCCTCCGTGCCTCCACCCCAGTGAACGGACAAGATTCTGATTCAAGATTCAACGGTACAGAACTGTCCATCGACAAGGTATTTATCAACCCGCGATTCGGTTGTAAACTCTCTCTCTCCGCGGCCTAGTATAGTTAAGACCAATAACATGCCGATAGTATTTAGTATCTCTGTATAGTATTTAGTTCGACTTAATTAAAATTGTTATTTATTTGTTACTATGGAGTCCGAGTAAGTTACTTCCGCGTCTCTCTCCTCACCTCTACTCCGAATCCAAGCGCTCACACGCTACCGCTCGCGAATCTTTAGACGTAACGTCGCGATTTCCGAGTCCCCCAGAGACTCAGTGGTGTCAGATTCAGGTCTCCTGACAGGGCGCCAAAGAGGTGCCGACCCTACGGTCACAAGGTATTTGAGAAAAGGACTATACAGTATATACAAACGCCTTACGTTACATATTATTAAAATGTGTATTTATGTAAAACAGCTAATAAAATCGTTAATTTTCGGAATACAGTATTATAATTTAGACCAGACATTCAAATACATAATAAGCGGAATTCCATTTACAACTCTTCTTCCGAGATCTAATCTTTTCGAAAGATCTTATCTGATTAACGGTAATAAATTTCTAAGTAATTGTTGCATAGTCAAGACTCGGGTGTCCTAGTAATATGATTATATACCTTTTTGTAAATTTATTTTTGAATTTTAGTATATCAACTAACAGTCGTTAGTTCTATGTTAATATTGAACATTGTAGTAATTCCAGGACTTTTTAAAATAAATGTGAAAATGCGAAACATATAAACGGTACTTTAATTTACGTGTTAATACGTGCCTGGTATGTGTACGTATACATACAGAAATATGTTAGTTATAACTCATTGCATGGGAGACATACTGGAATTAATGAATTACACATGTAAAACAATGCCATCTTGTGTGTTTCGATGCAATTACTCCCGTTACGGTTACTAATGTTGGCAGCTAGAGACTGCTAGCAAAATATGGAGTTTTTCATGAATCATGACATTCCGGACGAGTTACGGATGTTATTAAAGTTTAGTCATGCTCATCGTGGATCCGGCCATGCCTACAATAAGGACAGCCACGTGGCTTGGGACAGGATTAGACATATTCAAGACAGCCTACGAAAAATTCCCTGGTTGCTCTACCGGATTCGATTCCGGTTATTCAAAGCAGTAGACTTACGCCTTAATTGTCTGGGCTATCTAACCCGTTTGTACTATAATTCTCCGTGCATTTAAATATAAAGAAAACTGAATAATATACATACACTATTATATCTAATATTCTTCAATGTTTGAATTTGAATAAAATTATCAAAATTCAAGTTTATATTGTTTTAGGTATAGAAACTTGGCAATAGTACGTAAAAAATGAACAATATTCTATCTACAATTTGAGCAATAATATGCCAGTTTTAGTTTTTCGTTAGTCGTTGAAGAGGAGCCAATTCGTCTTGATTTTCGTACAAATTCACTTTGTCCATTGGTTTCTCTTTCGTGCGAACTAAATTAATTTATATATATAATAGAGATGGGTCGATTATAATAATAAGCGCAGAGCCCAAACGGTTAGGAGTTAAAGGTTGAAATTTGGTACACAGTTAGGGTACGTCATGAGAATGTACACTAAAAAGGGATTTTTTTGAAATTCCCTCCGCGGGGGAGAGATTGTTAACATTTCCCCACGGAAGAAGTGTTAACAATGGAAATGTTAAGAGAAAGTGATGTGCAAGCTTAACAGGCGTAGATTCGGCTTTTTGTGTTTTTGCGAGAAATCGAACATATTTTTAGACCCATCTAAAATTTTCTAATTACTTTGAAAACAAGGTCCCCCTGTTTTCAGACTAATTAGAATAGAACTAATATCAAATTCTTGCATTCTGTGAAAACCGATAAGATTGGCTATAATGTAATAATCTCAATCTTCGCTATCGTTACTTTTTGCCCGAGCAACGCCGGTCTTAACGGGCTTAATAATTTAGCGATGTTTCCTGAAATTAATTGGACAAGAAATAAAGGTGGGAGATAATAAATACACTATAGAAAGTTTAGAAACGGATTTGTTAACTGTAACTGTTCGGTATGCTCCTTATGAGGTTGATGAAAGCCTGATAAAAGAAGTACTGTATTAGGAAAATACGGTAGGATAATTAACGTGTATACAGGTCTCCATCCAAATACGAATGTACGTACGGGTGCATTTCGGGTGTCTATAATAACAAGGAAGCGAATTCCTATCTTTATGGAATTATTAGGTAGACGTGTACAACTGTACTATGTAGGAAATAAAAAAGAGTGTTTAAGATGTGGAGACTTAAATCACGAAGTGAAAGATTGTACAATTAAATTATGTTATCGATGTGGAAGTGACAGTCATTTAGTACGGGAATGTGAGGCCTGTTATAATTGTAGGAAGAAACACGAAAAAGGAGAGAAATGTCCTACACCATTATTCTCGGAGATATGTAAGAAGGGACCAAGAAAACATAGCCTCGAAAGAAGGCGTGAAAAAAGTTTGGATAGGTGGAGAAAGGAACAGAATGAGAAACAGGAAATAGAGCAGGAAAGGGAAACGGAGGAAATACAACCTCCAGAGTTATTAATAGTCTATAGAGGACTGAAGAAAGTAGTGAAAAAGA